GGGGGAGCTCTCCTTCCCCTGCGGGAGTCTCGGTTTAGCGTCGTACACTGGGCTGTTGGCTCGTCGTCCAATCGTCTAGGAGTTTGAAAAAAAGAAAGAAGGGCGAATAAGTATGAGTGCGAGGGGGGTACGAAGAGACATCCGAGACGGAAGTGTGGTTTCGATTTGCTGACTGGTTTGTTCTTTATCATTTTTTTTGAAAAGGATTACTGGGTATGTTTACATTAGTATCGTTATTGGGTCGAGAAAACTCAAAGACTCACTGCGGTGTCAAAAAGGAGTTCGGAATTTCAGAAGAAAAAGTGTCTTCTTTAAAGGTTAAAACCGTTCGGGATATAACAAGATTTTAGGGATGATCGCGTCGCCCGCAAAGCGAAACCACAAGGTAACTGGGACACCCTAACTTGGACCGACCCACCACCCCCGCGACGCACCGGCGTCACACTACCTCAGACCCAAAACCAAAATCCCATGCCACGTTGTTGAGACACACTTAGTAGATCGGAAAGTATACAGCACATAACCAAAGTGGTCGTAGCGTCCGGAGTGATGGGATACCAGTGGGAGTCCGGGAGCATCCGTCAGGACATTATACGCAGTAAGGGAAGTACACGTCGGATGTCGGTACGTGGTAAGGTTGCGAAGGAGGGGGATGTAAGCTGATGTGACTCGGCCGGATGGCGAGTCATAAGAGCGCGCGGTCGCGCGTCACGACGACGTCGGCGACGTATACCTGCCGCATAGCGGATGCCGCGGAGGGGGCACGGCGCGTCCGATGTACTGTTTTTTTTTGCGTTTGTTTTGTGTTTTATTGTGGGCCGCCCATGGCCGATGCGTCAAGCGTTCGTCGGAGGACCGCGTGGCGGCGGGGGCCGAGTCGGCGACGACAACGGCGGTCGGGGAAGCCCGTCATGCGTTCCGAGTCGTCGGACGTTTCGTCTGGCGGTACGTTATCCCCGTCGGATGACGTTGGTGACCCTGTCACGTCTCGCCGGCTCCGCGGGCGGGGGCTGGTGATCGACTAACCACGTCGCTCCTCGGCCGCTTCCTTTCCTTTCGCCTCTAAACGAATTCCCGCCCCGCACAGTCGCTGAGCATTTCCGTCTCAACGAAAATTTTTCCCGAATACTACCACCACCACCACCACTACTACCAAACACATTCACTACTACGTACTAACCACTCCACCCCTGGAAAATGTCATTGGAAGGTGTTCGGCACGGACGCACGAAGTTGGTTTTTGGCTCTTTTACTGTTTTTTTCAACGTCTTGTGTAATTACTTTCCTTATATGATAATGACACAACAGACATAATGATAATAGTATATGACTAAAGTAACATCAGTCGGCTCATGAATAAAATATCTTCTCTTTCGTCCTTGATTAGGGACACCAACCGATAGGGAGGCTTACAGTGCCGGGGGCGGGGGTGCGGACAGAGGAGATGAGCCCAGGGAAGCATTGTGAAAATGTCACTGCCACTTTGACAGCTGGACAGTTTTCAAAAAGGGACGCTGCTGGCCATTTCCCCCTCTGTCGGGACAAAGAGCCGGGGAGGCTGCAGGGGGAGCCGGGACTAGGCTCCGCACCCAGAGGGATGTTTCGATTAAATAAACAATTATGAACAATGAGCACATTCTGTCCTCCATGACATAGCCTTATCCCACCCCCCATACTCTATAAGGCCTGGAAACTCAGTTGGACAGCGAGCATGAGGGGAGCTTTGGAAATGTACACTAATGGATCAGAGAAGTCTCGACTTTTGGCTGTAGGTGGATTAATGTGATTTTCAGTTTGTGGTGACCTGGAAAACAACCCTCCCCTTCCCCTTTAGAGACACAATTGGAGTCAAATTCAATTTCCCTTTAATTCAAATTAAATGAGAAGCATCAGGCTGGACAGAAACACATTTGAGATGTGTTTCTCGATATGTGAGTTGAAGATGGATCAAAACATCTGTTGAAAGAAAGTCCAAGATAACCAAATATAATCAGTCGAGTCTGCATAAATTAACATCAGGTGGAAAGAAGGCAAGGAGGTGCAGAAAATGTTAAAGGTGGAAAGGCAGGATCTATCGTGGCAACCCTATTGTGAGCACTCCATTATCCAATCCAACCCAAAACAGTGCACCAGGAGAAAAACAGGAAAAACAAAACAACAGCAAGGCGTCAGAGAGGAAGAAATATGTAAAAACAGTCCACCTCCACTAGACCGATTACAGACACAACGACAAGGGCACTGCACAATCACTCCACGGAAAGACACAGAAGGAAAAGGGAGGAATAAACTGAGTAAATGGGTATGTAGTGGTTTGGTGTGTCTGTCAGTAAAGGTCAAAGATCAACATAAGCACATAGATTGGACCCAATATTGGACCGATTAACTTTAAAGGCCAGTCACAAAGTAATTGCATTGAAAGGTTTACTCTTTTTTTCAGACTATCTCCAATTTGAAAAGCCTCCGAAAAAACATTTGAATCATCAAACCCTCCTTTGAAATCACACTAATGAAACTCACCAGGTTTCCAGGAGGATTTCTTAAACTAGGGACGCAATCGAACTCCTAATCCTCACACAGAGGGACATTTCCTGCCTGTTATCTGAAGTCAAAAGTGAAATCAGTGAATTTCCCCCCCCAACAGAAAGGGAGGAAGCTCTTTATACTGGAGGTAGATGAGACACTGTCTGAAGGGCCATTAGCCAATATGCATAAAAAGCTAACATTAGCCTGATTGGAGAAACACCAATACACATAGCAACAGCAACTCTAATGAATACGCAAACACTGTCACATGACTCTGTCTGGGTTTTCTCACACAAAATCCATGCACAGGTTTAACACAACTACTTACACAATGAGAACCATTAAACTTTATATACAAATCAGATTTAATGTGGTTGACCGCCGATGGACTGTGAGGATCATTCAAATGTCAGGTTCTGGTATTTAATTTATGCTGTGCTTGCAGATCTGTCACTTTGTAATCATTTTTGTTTAACCATCTATTTTATTACCTTATTTAGTAGGTAGCTAATTAGTTGATTTAATCCACATGTCTGCAAAGCTGAGTTAGGGTAAATACTGCAATAATACCAGTTTAGATTTTTTACCAGACATGTACAATCTGAAACAGACAAGTTGATGAAATAATCTTAGTCAATTTAGACCAAAACCAACAATTTATCCAATGATCAACTAACAGGGGCTATCATAGAAGAGCCTATAGACCGCTGGTCATTTATTCTCGAGGCTGGAGACTACATCGGCCATTACTATGAATTGCATTGTGGGTAATGTAGCAGCCTGGTTTAAAAACAAAATAAAAACGAGTGGAATAAAACATATATTACTTGTTCTACTGCACTAATTGTTATACTGTTGATTAGACTGTCTGCTTAAACTTTGAACCCTTCAGTGTTACTCATACTCATCTCTACTGCTCTCAAAATGTATCTACTAACTCAGCACATTTTTGGATTGTATCTCTGCTGTCTCTAATCCTACACTACTGCTGTATCTATGGGATGTTCTGGTATACTAAGAGACATAAACAAGTACACACACTTAGCATAAGCAGAGGTTTTGCTCATGGGAAGCAAAGCTCTGGCTGACCCATCTAATGGGCCCAACTCATAACAAATACCCACGTTTTCCAGGCAATAGTCCTGAAGTAAGGAAGTATATGGCTGCTTTGTTATGCTGGTGGATATGGGGTTACGACTTCTGTGTGTGTTTGTGTCTTTACTGGAATGTCATGTTCACACAACCCAGCTGTCATTAAAGCTCAAGGCTAAATAAAGGATCTCTGCCATCGTGCATGGTGTCTGCAGAGGGCGGGTCAAACGTACACTGAGGTGAGAGGATCTAATGTGTGTGATTTTGCACTATGAAAGTGTTGGAGGTCTGCAGCACACACACCTGTCTCGCTTCGACAGAGTTAGACTTTTGATATTATCACTGAGACAGATGGACCTGGTGTCTAGTTTCTCTTCACAAGTGCAGCCAGACTTGAGTCATAATCCACACTTAGAAAGCTACTTGGATCATACATTGAGAGAGTTTTGTAAGAGCAGAAACGCACCTTTTGTTGTTTTAGTTTATTAGCAGTTTGAGGATGTGAGACAGACAGCGATTAGCTACAACTTACAGTTAGTCTTTTAGAAGCATTATTTACTATTTATTTATTATTTACTATATTATTTATTATTTGTATTTATTAGGCATATTTTTACTTTTTAGCAATATGATGTCTTTGAATATTTCTATTTTAGAAGATGTATGTATAAAATGGAAGATTGTTTGTATTTTAAAAACTAAATCCGGCAAAGATTACATTTTGAGGATGCAGTTTATTGGTATGGGAACTTTGTAGCTGACTTTGTAGTTTTCTCCACTTTAATCAATCTGTCTCTACAATATGACCTTAAATATTGATTTGCATTCTTATTTTGAACCAAGTCAATACTTTGTTTCAGCAAATAACTCCCTTACATGTGTTCAGAGCGTTTGCACTATGCGCCTATTGTGACAGAGAGACAGAGGCTTCTGGTTCAATCTGATTGTATGTGCATATGGAAAATTAAGCACAATAATGTGTCCCTAAAAACACCCGACCTGGCCCTATTTGAGTGGCCCCCTGCATTGCTATTAAATGACAGAGAGAGATGGTCCCTAACCAGACCCCCCCAACACACACACACACACACACACACACACACACACACACACACACACACACACACACGTTCAAAAGGCCAACCTAGAAAAGGCAGTTTGACTGGCTGTTTAGTGGACAGTGACAAAGGTTCAACATCTTGTCCACCTAAAATTATCAGCTGTTAAATATTTGGGGTGAAAAAGATAAAAGTATAAAAAACAGACTGATAGTAACAATCATCACACATTAAACTGAGAAAATGTCAAATTAAAACATGTTTGAATAATTTAGTACCTAAATATTCAATGTGTACAACCCTCTCAAATAAACGTAGACTCAGTACTTACCCATAAGGCCTTTGGATGAACGCAGGGTGAATTTGGGGAACACCAAAGGTAAAACCTGCAAAACAGAGAAAATACAAAAGACGACAGCATTAATCTCTTGAATAATTGGTTTAAAAAACGTTGTCATATAACATGTTCTAACATTGATTGCAAGTACCTTAAAAACAAACAACCCTGAGGAGGAACTCAAAAAGGACTCACTTGATTTTGCCAATAAAACCAACGTCTGATGCCTAATAAAATAATGTTCAACAAAGACATGCTGATTAAATGTTGGATTTACTGATCGGGGATATATGATATTTAGAGACTACATCTGCACATCTGACTGCACAGTTTTGAAGAAAGACACCCCATTCCTGCGGCTTTTGAGGATGTTTCTTTTGTGCTTTAATGCTCCTCATTTGTCTGTCCTTACCTTGCTGCATCACCCGAGGCTTGGCCCCCAGGTATGCCAGGTTGACGTTGGCCTTCCTGCCGTCAATGATGGGGTTGGGGTCCTTACAGGCCCGGTCTGCAGCCGAGCGGTCCGCCATCGTCACCTGACGGAGCAGTCAAAAACGTAGAGCATGAGAAAGATGAGGAGAATTCAAAGCGGTGTGTAATTTGCTTAATTTTCCTACTGATTGAGCAAAAGCTATAACGACAACATCTCTTTGTGTGTGCATGCCTTTCTGTGTATTTCTCTGGTCATTATTAACAGTAGCAAGTATTTGGCAGCACACACTTCCCTGTACTTCATATGTATGTGTTAAAACTATCAACAGCGTAGAGGAACCAGGATGGTGGGCTGACTGAACATGGCTCCCTTACTGCTCTCATTACAGACTCTATTGCTCTGCTCACAGCCCCAATAGCCGGCATCTGGATTTTAATTATTTGTATCATGTTTTCATTGTAAAGCACTGTTTTTGAAAGCTGCTCTGCTAATACGGTATAAATATGGTAATGCTACAACAATAAAGAGGAAATGTGGGGAAAGTTTGAGATAATACATCTCAGTTGAACATAGTAAGGTTAGTTTCTTCATACAATAGATATTTGTGCATATCAAGAGTGACTGTGCAACTTGGTGCATCCTCTTGAATATGAGCCAAACTTCAAATAGATTACTTTATAGTCTTTAAAGAGGCCAAATAAGGTTAAGGGTAGATACCTCCTGGCAGCCTTTAACATATATGTTTTAGCATCTGTTAAACATAAATGTATACATGAATGAACTAAAAAATAGGTATTTTGAAGGACTGTCTGAGTTAGCAGTTTAACATTGCGTCTGAATGTGTTTTCTCTATCGATTTTTATGACAAGGGGGGAGTCAAATATGTTTGTTTTAAACAGATTTGAGATGATGAAACAGTGTCACGGTGTCAGCAAACTTAAAAACATCATCATGAGGTTTTTCCTCAGCCCACCAGAGCTGTCAGTGTGGGAGCAGCTCACTTAAAAAACGTGCCAGGGCGCATACCAACGCGCAACAAGTCGGTGGTGCAAGATTGCAACTGACGACTTTAGGCACTGTTATCACAACATAAACACCCCATGACTGCAGATAAGATAATTTTAGTCATGATGTTGTGACAGACAGAGACAGCCGCGCACTTAAGACGCGTAAAGTCAGGACTTTTCCCACATGCGTAAAACTTTTTTTGTGTTCAGTTCAGTTTAAAAAGCGATATACTTGTTATTAAAAAGAGTGATACTTACGAATCCATATCCCCTGGACTTGCCGGTCTGCCGGTCCGTTATGACCACCGCTTCTTCAATCTCACCAAACACCTCAAAATATTTCCTGAGACTTGTATCCGTGGTGTGGTAGGGTAGACCCCCGACAAAAATCTTTGTGTAGGTCGTGTCCTTTTGCGTGGAGTGCATCGTTAGTGCAAATACAATAAATATTAGCAATATATAAAAAGAAAAGTGCAATGTCTCCTTATCAGTTTGGATGAAGAGAGAGAAAAGAGAGAACAGCTGGCTCTGTTACTTTTTTTCAGAAGAGAAAACACAACAAATTAAGCCTAGAGGTAGATGTATCTTCCGACAGTTAAGAGGAGAGTTATATGGAGCGGATTGTCCCACAGAGACCATCAGGTGTTTCCAGCTCTTCTTGGTAACTCTGCTGTCTAACTAAATAGGTTTGGGACCCATTCCTAAAAGCGCTGCTTCTAACTCCACCCAGCTCTCTGTCCATCTCTGCCCGCCCACAAGCGCGCAAACAGCTGGGAAACCTGCACAGCGTGAAACACTGGAGATCCTACACAAAAAAAGAGATCCCCCTACTAGAATCACGTTTAATAAACCATCAGGGGCAAAAAAACCTGATTCCACTGATAATATGTTGGGGATAAAGAGTAGCAGGGGCTTAAAAAATAACTAATTGTTTAAAAAAGCGATTATTTGTGCGTCAGCCTTACACTGTCAATATGTGTTGATTTGGGGTTTTTACGGGGTAAAACGTAAAACCAGACTTGCACTTTTCCTTAGAAAAGTTCTATCTTGATTTTCAATAGACTTGCATGGATTAGCCCCCCTGAAAAAAACAGCTGGTTAGGGTCTTGACACAGCTCAGGGACAGACACATCACAGCAGCAAAAGCAGACAGACAGGTGCAGTTTAAGCACTTGTGGGGGATGGACAGAGTTTTGCCAAGTTTATGTGCCAATGCAGAAAGAAATAAGGCATATTGTGAAAAGTGTGACCTGAGTTTGAAAAGTGATATCAAACTTCTCTCAAGTGTTGTTTTTAATTGTTCCTTAACGATTTGGTCATAAAGTAATGAGCCTAACCCTTCAACAGGTTTGAATGTCCATATCATTAACTTAACACAAAGATCTAACAAATGAGGTCCCTATCAATATATATTTGGGGTAATGAAGCCGTTGTGCTGAATTAAGCTTTATATAATTTTTTTTTTAAACAAGGTGATCCCAATTTAATAGTTTAATAAAGTGAGACCTGTCTTCCAAACTGACAGATGCATCGTGCGTCATATGATTACGCACAACTGTATCACAATGGTAAAGGATCAAGTCAGAGATCTATTCAAAAGTCTCTGAACATCAATAATTAACATAACTTGTGAAGCATGGCCTCGGCTGGCTGCTGGATGGATCTTTGGTTAATTCAGCCCCAGTAATGTGAGAGTGAAGCCTGCTGTCTGTAAATCATTCATGGCGGCTCCGCTTCTGTGAGCAGCATATATCCTGCCTACATGTAACACTGTGAGTTGACACATTTGGGAACATTGTTGAGTGTCATCAATGTTCTTGTTTAAAAAAAATGTGTTCAATCCTGTGCTGCTATTTAAAAAAAGTCACATGACTCAAGCCAATTTAAAATGTCAGGTAGAGACTGATGGGTATTTGTGTTAGTTTGTAAATACATGCTTTAATAAGGCAGTGTGATTATAATAAAAACTTCATTTATATATTTGTATATATTTAAAAGTTTGACTGTAACAAAGTGGACATCGCAGGACAGGTAGTCCACTTCACAAAGGAACGCAACCTGATAGATGTTCTTTCTGCGGTGTCTCTGTTCAACCACTATTTTATTCATGCAGGCACACGCGCTTTAAAGTCCGAGTGGAGTCGTGATAAAAGGGGGACCAGTGTCGAGTTTCCCAGGCTTAACAATGGGGATCCGGTCAGGTTGCGTCCAATTGTTGTTTTCTGTTCATGTGCAGCATGCTGACTAGTCGGAATCCTCCTATACCTTCACAATAACAGGCTGTGGGTCCACTGGAAGGGATCATTAGCCCGAGCAACAAGAACGTCTGATTGAAGGACCGGACCCTATTGAAATTGCATGGAATTGTTTTTTTCTATAATAATATTATCACTCAGAAACCACTTTCAGTTTCGAGGGCCTAAATATATTCACAAATGCAGTATTTCTTGACACAAAATTCAAACTGTAAAATGTACGTGAACCACTGGCCTTGCGCGTGGGCGTGTCAAAATAGCTCAACAGCGCCACCTAGATTACAGACCCCATATGTACGATTGTTCTACATGTGGGTATTGGGAGATGACAAAAAAGTCTATTAGAGCCAGACCATAAACTCATGGGAAGTGGGCTGATTTTGAAGTATGCCCTGACCTAAATACTTAGATAACTATCTGTTTTTAATTTATCAAGAGAAAGGCTGCTGAAATTGTAACTTAATGCTTTTTATCCATTTGGCTGCAGCTACCACCTGTGAGGCAGAGTAAAGCATAAGGTCAAAGGTCACTTGAACAGCTGAATAGGGCTTTCTACAGCTCGGACACAAGGTCGTACAGGAGAATACCTATAGACTTGTATACCACATTTTACTCAAATTCAAATTCAAACAAAAAAAGTGTTTTGAATTGGCCTATTCAACACCCCTCATCCTCTCAGAAAATAATAATCATAAAGTTAAAAATAAATTAGTGTCAACATTTTTAGGGATTTGCATATTCATAAACAACACATAGTAGGAACATTTCTATTATATAGACATATTTATTAATTAATAAAACATTCCCTTTACTCATTTTACTTCACATGTGGTCAAACGGTCAAACCTATGTTATTGATAAGCTGCAAACTGACTCCAGGCAGCTGTGAGACAACTTCAACTGAAACAGCGCCCTCCTGTGTCCAACAGAACAAGAACACCGTTCACATGGAAAATTAGACTTAACAATATGATACTTTACAACGAAATGTAAAACTAAAATATCCTATGAATAAATCCTGTATGTTGGAAAGACGTTTTGGTCATATTTACTAAAGCCTTCACTGAGGTCAATTATAAACCCTTATAATTCTTTGTGCATGTTTTGGTCCAACGCAATTTCTGCAGTTCAGTGCTTTTACATTCACATTAGCTCGTCAATACAGCCTATCACAGCTTAATCACATATGAACTTCTTCTAATACATATATACAATATATACCCTATATATTTGTTTCATTACAACCTTTCGGCTATGCAAAAGGAATTATTTTGGCTTCCTCTCCTCTGTCTTTTATCTCTCTCAGTGCTGATTCTTGGCTCATTTTTTGTGATAAATTAAAATATCTCGTCTTTGTCATCTACTTGTTGAAAGCTAGAATCGCTCTCCAGCTCCCCCGAGGCTGTGAGGAGGAGCTGATCCTTCTTCAGCTCCTCCACCTGGGTAAACTCCACCTCCTCCCCATCACCACTGACCCCTCGGTTATTTCCCCTCTCTCCCCCCTTCTCTCTCGCCCCCTCTTTTTTGTCTGCTCTACTTATTTCTTCTCTGCCGTCACCTGCATCCTCTCTCGCCCACTCTCCACCCTCGGCCGCCTCACGTGTGATCTGGCTGTGAGGCTGTGGAGCGAGAGGTTCAGGGGTGAGAGATGGGTGCAGCGGCTCCACAGGGGTGAGTGCTGCGTCCTCTTCATCCTCTGTGATGAAGGTGTGTGCAGGACCCCGGACACGGGCCGACTTGGACCTCAAACGAGTCTTGAGCTCGTCTTCTCTTAACTGAGAGAAAGAGGAGGTAGTGTGTGGGAGACAAAACAATAGGATCAACTCTCCATTTATCAGAGAGAGATAAAGATGAGGTGGTCACACACACACACACACACACACACACACACACACACACACACACACACACACACACACACACACACACACACACTGTACCTTGCGTCTTTCCTCAGCAAGTCTTATTTTCTCCTCAATCTCTTCTATGCTGGGGAGGTGTTGCGCCTTTTTGGCCCTCAGAGACTCCAGTCTGGCAGGTGGCCTCCGCATGACCCCTTCCCTGTCCTCAAGCTCAAGCTGGTATACACACACAAGCACACCCAGGAGATGGACACAGAGAGCAGACAATCACACTAAAGAAACTGAATGCATATCCACGAAAACTGACTGACCTCACCTCCCTAGGATTATTGTTATATTAGTAACAGCAAGGCCTTTGCTGCTTTGACAAGTCAAAATGCATGTATTGAAAGAGAGCTATACCATACACTATATATTATGGGCTTTTCTATTTATATTAGTAAAACACTGACAGGGAACATGTTAGTGCTGAATAAATACTTTGAGAACATTGTGCCCAAATTATTAATGTACTTTTAATTAAGTAATGCTTTAAAAGCAGGACTAATACTTATAAGAGCACGGTGTGGTTTTAGTACATTTACCACTGCCTCTCAGTGATGTGTAATAGCCGGTTTGAGCAGTGTTAGCAGGAACCCACCATGATGCTGTAGGCCTCCCCCGCCCCGCTGCCCCTCTCTCCGCTCTGGCCTCCCTCCGGTATGATGCCTTGGTGCAGCAGCTCCTTCAGGATCTCACTGGACTTTGCACGCTCCTGCTGCAGTAAGACTGGGAGACGACAAAACACAAAACTGTAATGTTGTATGCCCTGAATTCTCTTTTTGACGTGACCCAGTGTTTTTTTTATCATAGACTGTATATATAAAGGTTTTTATTCAGCTGACCCACCATGTTGTGTTATAACGTCCACAACGCTTTCTCTGACACACTGAGATGTTAGAGGAGGGAGTTTTCTGGGCACGGCTCCAGGTAGCAGAGGGATGTCTCTGTTCTCCATCACCACCCCGCTGTCCGTCGTGCCCTTCGACACGGCCGAGTCCCCACGAACATCCACTTTACTTCTGGTCACATCCTGACAGCACAGACACGCAGTATCAACCCATGAATACATTTTTTATACCCTGCCCCCCCACTGTGTGGTATCACAGACATGATGTTGTCATGGTGGCGCCTGTGTGTGTGTTGACACATTGTCATGAACACAGTAGCTCAGGAGCATTAGAGTTTAAAATGAGTTCACAGTAACAGTGTATTCTGTGACTTTAACAACGCTGTGTATATATAATATTTATATGTAGTAAATAACCAATATAATATATAATGATATTTATGAACATTTAAATTGGCTGAATAACAAGCTACGGTTTTAATCTTTAAGTATTTAGCTTGGTATATTGCTGTAGTTTTAAGTGGCTTTTTAAGGGAACATAATTGTTCAAATGTTACCAGGAACAGGAACTCAATACAGTATAATTTTTAGGCTGGTGAGCGAGTCAAATTGAGCAGAGACTTTCGTACTTTACAAGCCAAAACATTGACATCTTAAATAGAGGACTTTTTCAAAATTG